TTCTGAACCCCATTGCAACAACTCCTCTGTCTTACTGAAGCCTCATGTTATCTTTTTATTTTCTCCCCTGTTCCCCTGGTCTTTTGTCCCCAGTAATATTTCTTAATGTCTTGTTTTCCCTTTACAGTGTTGGGTCCAGTTAAAGCTGTTTCTATGCCCCAGCAACTTGTGCAAAGGCTTAGTATTGTCTAGGTACTCTGGGGTGCCTGCTACCTCTCTCAGGGCAGCAAAAGGTTCTAAAATAGCCACCCCAACACTAATTTAAACCTTGTCGTTGAGAACTAATTGCATGCATACCCTGCGAAGGCACCAGACAAGCTCCAGTCAATATGAAACTTGAATGGAAGTGAAATACTACAAACAGGGAGCATGGAGGGTGGAAGAAGCACCATATAGACAATGAAAAATGCATCAGTCTTTACAGGAGATGCAAGTAAGTAAGTAAAAGATGTAATCAGCCTTCGCTGCTTTGCTTTCTTCTTTACATGTCTTTTATCTCTATTGCTCAGCACTGTGTTTGTGGAGGTTTATACACTCTGACAAATTCTGGTTGCTACCTTAAGAGCATTTATTCCTCTCGGAAACTCATTTCACATTTCATCAGTTACAGCAATGAGATGGGAAACCGGTTTCTTGTTTCTCTGTGGCATGTGCATGCTGGGCAGATGGCACAGCACTAGCCTGAGCTGAATGGAGTCCTGGTCCGAGTCCCCCCACACCTCCTCTAGCCTGGGCAATCTCGAGGTTTAGACCCCCTCTCTCTTTAAAGAGAGGCTTCAGGCATTTAAAAACCCCCTGCACTGCAATGGAAAAAACACTTTCATTTCAGCTCCCCTTTAGCAAGTTAGACAGCACTCTACAGGACCATTAGATTAAGGTGTGCTGCATCTATTTCCACGTATTGCTTTGTCTTGCCCTGCGACATAACTCAGGATCACTTTTAGTAGGCTGTGTCTGAGAGATATTTGGAGACACTGCCAGCATTTGGCCTGTTTGGTTTGCAGGGTTCATGATACTGTGTGGTAAATCATGAGTATTTGTCTATGAGCTTCGCTCTCAAGCAAACCCAGAAGCTGTGGAAAACCACACAGCATCACAAGACTCCTGCAAAAATCCCCTACCCATAAAAATCTGTTTACCCAAGTTGCAAACTTGTTTACTTCTGGAAACTGCTGAGTATTTTGGTAAAGTTATGGCAAACCTCCAGGTTATAAAAAAGACCTGAGATCTCATTATTAGCATTTCCCAGGGTAATAAAGAAAAAGATATGCCTTGCCGTGGCCTTCTCATTTTCTCCTCTTCCCTGCTGTTGCATTACTTCTTACAATCGGACATGACAGGAAAGAGCTGTACAGTCTGTTCAGGGAACTGGAGCAGCACTCACAGCCTGGGGAAATTAAAGGCTACATGCAATAGCTATTAGTCCTGTGATACTAGGAGGGAGTGCTCAGTGATGAGTTCACTGTGAGGCTTTGAATAGGAACTAAGGGGAAACTCAAATACATTAAGAGCATAAGAAGAAGATAGTCTTGAAATCTCTCTGGACTAAAAGCCTCTCTATCAACAGACACTTTGGCTATTAGTGTCCCCACAGCTGCCAGCGTGCAGCTACTCCTGCACTGCAAGGCACTGGCTACAAAACCAAAAAAAAAGAACCAATTGCTTCTTTAGAATTTGCCTGCCTGTCTTTCTCACCCAGAAATACGAGGGAGCTGAGAAAAGCCAGACAACTTTTAACTGATTTCCAGTTGCATTTTCACTGTTGAGAACAAGAACATCCATGTGCAGGACAAATAGCTCTGCTGGGTCCAGGAGCTCAGCAGATGCAGCTTCAGGAGAGCAGTCAGGCAAAATCAGCCTGGCAAGAGAAGCAGTCTGGGGTCTGCAGGATTCAGCTGCAGCTGCTACAAGCTTCTTTGCTCATACTTCCTTCTGGTGTCTTTTGCAAGTAAATCAAAGTAATGGAGACTTGTCTTTAAATCTGGCCCACATTCTCCTTCAGCAGAAAGCAGAGATTTTTAACCAAATTGCAGTGCTGGGGATTTCATAAACTGTGAATCTCTGTCCTTCATTATGCAACAAAGGGCTTTTTGGTTAGAAGGTTTCAAGCTGGCTTCAAAAGGGTAAACCAGCTTCATGGTTCTAAAATTGGCATGTTGAGAGGCCCCTCCTCAGTGCCTGTACTGCCAGCCATTTAAATAAAATAAAGTGTTGAAGGAGAATAAAGAATAAAACTGATTAGCTGTGCATAGTTAGTAACAATAATAAAGTGGAAAATATTTTGGACTAAAATTAATGGACACATCTTTAGTATGTCATACATGAATTTATCTGCATGACTTCCACTCATGCTAATGGGAGCTACTTGGCTAAATTTCTGCTCGGTGAGCTGTTAATTCATCCCTAAGGGATTAAGTTTAAATTTAAACTTATAAAAGCCATTTAATGTTAAAGCTGAAACAGTGTTTTGAATTCATATGGTTTTCAGAGAACAAAGAAGTAGTGAAATAAATTAGCAATGATGTATTAGTGTGAATATTCAATTTCCTGAATTTAGTGGTTAATTTGGAGTAGTCGTAAGTTGTGACTTCCTGGCTCTGACCAACATCTGTTTAGTGTGATATTCTGGTTAGTGTGATATTCCCAGCACCAGATACCCCAAAACACCTGATAAAATATGTGTGATTAGAGAACATGTTTATAATCAGCATTTTTTCCTAGATACTGTCATTAGTTGACTTAAGTTTTGATACAAAAGTGACCCAACATTCTTTAGCTTATATTTTACTTCTAGTTCTCTCAGAATCCTTCTGATTTATGGACCACTCATATTTGCAGGTTGAAATTCTGTATAGATTTATTGTACAAAAAAAAAAATCAAATTCTTTTTACCATTTTAAATCAGTTCCTTTTCAGTTTCACTCTTGTACTTTTCTTAAGGAAAAGATTATTTAGGAAGTAATTTTCATTTAGGTACTATTCAATATTTTCTTTCTTTCACTGTGTCCTCTCATTCCCATTATTATTTTTTTTTTCTAAATGAAATTAACCCAAACTTTTGAGCCACTTTCCTTACAAATGTTTTTGATGTGTATCTTTCCCTGTATCTCTCTTGATGTATGTTTTCTGCTTCTGTTTAAATTTTCTACTCCTACCTATATTCTTCTAAGCACCGACAGTCAAAATGCATGTCTGATCTGTCTGGCTGACTGTTCACTCTCTGAAGGAGGTGCCATTCTCGTACAGCGTTTTGGTGCTCTATAAATATTTATTCATACATAAGGCATTCCAAGCTCATTTCATCAGTTCATAGTCATCTAGGTGATTTATACCCATTAATTTTTTTTCCAATTAACTTTTCTACCTCTGAGATAAGGCTTTCTGCTCTGTAATTACCAGGGTCATCCCTTGCATCTTGTTTAATATTAGATAGAACATTAACTGTTCTCTGGTCCTAGCTGATGTGGAGTATGTTGTAATCTGCAGTTAACCGTGAGAAAAAAATCTCTTACTGCACTGCTCATACTGAGGCAAAGGTCCGACCTTCAACAGCCTCCTGCTACTGCAGCCCTAGGGTCTCCCAAGTACAATACATCCCACAACTGTATATCAATGTATCTCACATTCTTGTATGTGTGGTACAATTCTCAAGTATGCCTTTACGGTATGAGCCCACATCACATCCAGCTTTAAAATTCCATAAAGTTCATTTCTACTTGAGACTTAAGCCAGTGGTAAATAAGGCCTTTATAAGAGATATGTGTCAGAAATAAGGTTATTGCATGCAGCTACCTACTTCCAGACAACTGAAAGGATAATACCAAGTAACCTTCCTAGATATGTTCATTTTAGTGAACATTGTTCACATCTGGTTCTGAAAATATCGATTTAGAGGCAAGAATATAAAATGTTCCTTTTTTTTTTCCTGTCTAAATGTGTTCTGAATGGATTAAAAATAAATATAATGGACACTGTTGTTATGCAAATAATTTGTCTTACTGAAAAAGTGATGAATGGGAAAAAAGCTAGGGCCAAAAAATTCAATTGCTTTCTACACATAATAAATCTGGAAAAGAAACAAGTTTGCAAGTGACTTAATTGTAATTTTGAAATATAATCATAAGTTTAAAAGATATAGCACAAAACAAGAGGAAATGCTGTCGAATGTCTCAAGGAACACGTCTCTCTGTTACTATAGAGAAATTTCCAGTGGTTTATACATTCCTGTTCAATCAGTCCTTCACTGGCAAAAATCAGTGCCATGTAAACCTCATTCTTGCAGCAAAGTTCACTAGGGTGCTGTGGTAGCACCCACACAGAGAGATAGCCAAAGTTGTCTCCAACTTCTTCTAAATTGACATATCCATAAATACCTGTTAACTTCTCTTTCTAACACATACACAACCTCCTTCCACTCTGCTCATTCACCATTTCCAAATGCAAATCACTGGGTGATGTTGTGACATTAAAGAGATTAATATTAAACGTTTAAATTCAGGCCTTCCTGCAGGTGTGCATCTCCTGTGGCTGACTACAATAGAAGGTATAAATGCTGCTCCATCATGTACCAAGCTGGTACCTAGTATGGACAGCAAGAGCAATGTCATTATCTAAGTCTAGGCTTCATTCTAAGGCTACCTGAACCTGTCTGAAGCCTGAGCAGATCCTTCACCTCTGGAAAAATGGTGACCACAGGGGCATTCCCTTAAACACTCTTGTCTCTCTTGAATGATAGCATTTTTGTCTATGACACTTCACTGCAGTCAGTGATTTTTGCCCATTGATTTTTGCCCTGCAGCTCCAACGTGACAATCTACATAAGCATGATAATGTAACATGATATACTACAGTGATAATGTAACGTGATTCAAAGCATGATCAATATGCCATGATAATCAACGCAAGCAGCACACACGGCTCTGAGACAAGCCTTCAGCACCCACATAAGCAATAAATACCCAAAAGAAGTACTAAAGAAAAGAATAAAAGGGTGGAAATACCTCATGGTATTTCTTCACTGTCTTCCCTGACACGCAGGTGCAGGATTTCCAGCTCGACGTCCCACAGCCACAGTTCCCTCCACAGCGCTGGACAAGGAGGCAGCGGGGGAAGAAAACGACGCTTGTCAGCTTCAGCTCCTCCCTTAAATTGACAGAGTAGTTTCTTGGCGTGCAGCTGTAACGTTTCACATCATCATTCAACCTGTCCAGGTCAACTGCAATGCAAAAGACTTTTTATTAGCAGGGTTAGAGTGGGACCTCCCTATGGTTTATACAGCTCCCCGAGCAGTCAATAACGCAAAGTAATGTGGCACTGTTTGGAAAGTCTGTGAAGTATAGGAGTGATTGCTGAACAGATAAACATAAACCCACCAATTTTAAATCATTACACGTGTCCATCCAGGCTCTCATCCTGCTCCCACTGACTCCCACTGCAGGGCTCCCACTGACTATAGAGGTAAAGGGAAAGTTTGCAGTAAAATACTGGCCTGAAAGCGGGAGACTGGCTATTTTATTTGCTTTGCCACTGATCTGTTGAATCCTTGGCTAAGAGATTCAACCTCTGCTACTCTTCTTCTGTCCTCTGCTTATACCTGGGTTACCTAAGTAACCCTGAGTTCTTTTTTTGTTATTATGAGCTTAAGTCTCTTTGCCTAACTGCAGGCATGCAAAAAGTAAACGCTTTAAACAAGGCTCTTCCTGTGGTCAGTAGAGAAACATCTTTGGAGAGTGATTGATCCCTTCCTGGCAAGGGCATTTAGGAGAGATGGCATGACTTGCTTTCTCAACTAGTCTGTATTGTTCATGGATAGACTATAGACAACTCTCTTTCAGATGGAGAAATTAATCTAAGCAATATTAATTTCAGTTGGTAAATGCTACTATATTAGGCATACAAAGAAATACAACTAAAACTGATGAGCTTCAATGAACACCAGTAGTTGGTTCATGTTTAAATGACTCGTATCTCTGTGAGATGTATCATGTAAGCAAGTGGTAAAGCAAATCATAAAAATAACTTATGGACTATGAACTGTAAGTTGAAGTGCTGTTTCTAGTTTTAGCTTGTAAAGCTAAACCAAACCAAAACAAAAATCCCTTCCAGAAATACTCTTCCTACAATTGTAACAGATATAAAAGTAAAAAAAATAATGAGTTATATTTCTATAGAAGTTTTCTGCTTTCTTTTTCTTTCCTGTTGTTTTCTTTTTTTCCTCAGGATTTTTAGGAACACGAACTAAGTGTTCAAAACTCAATAATTCATTCAGGACTGGAAGATGTGAATTTGTATTGAGTTCCCACCCTAAACAGTATTTGCTACTAGAAACCTCAACAGGAAAATAGGAACTCCTCAAATGAGAACTGAGATAGCCTAGAGTTTGTGAACATAGCAGTTTTTCATGGGCATGTTTAAAATCTCAACATCATGTTTGCTTCTGAGTGCACCTGCTCTTGTGCTTCATTACAAACATGTGAAAACCTCCAAGAAAGACACTTCATACCTTCTGTGAGTCAGTCTTTGTCAACATCACGGAGTAAATTGTCAAAGAGCTGTGATTTGTAAATATCGTGCACCTTTACATTCTGGCCTGGAGATATTCACAAGGCAGATATGCAGGAGGCAAGGCTACATAAATGCCATGAATGCTGTTACAGAAAATCATAGCAGCTTCACTTTTCTCACAAGGTGCTAGCTCAGTCAACTGGAATTTGCAGATAAATTGGGATTTTATAGCGATTGTGATACATCTCACCATGAAATCTCAGTGGGACTCTCCAGAGAGCTAGCATCTCTCCAAAAGAGGTATAGATCATCCTCCTGATATAAGCACAAAATCAATGGGGCTGCTGGTATACTCGTGCACTGGGAGAAAAATGCATTCCAAATGTCCACAGCCAGACTTAGAAGTCCAGAGAATATTGATTTCTTTGTTTTAACAGATGGTAGTTTCTTCTCTGCTGTCATTCTCCAAAGCCACCCCTTCTCATTGCAAGCTCTCAGGCTAATTCTTCTTGCAGGATAGTGTCCCCCACTCCTCTAAAGGTTCTCATCACAACCTGTGCCATCAGCTTTGCTTACTGCTAAAGCAAAGAGGTATCTGCCTGCTATTCATTTCAGCCAGTTGATGTGAAGGAAAGATTAACCAAAGGAAGAATAGGGCAGAAAATATTCTGTTTTCATGATTAATGAGAAACCTTGAGGAGAAAGCCTGCATCATCCACACTCTGGCACTGCAGCGATCCAGCAGAATGGATACAGATATAAGCAGGCTGTGGGCTAGGATGGCGTTTGCTGATGGTGTATCTCTAGAGTTAGAATAAAATGCTCAAAGGCTTAATTCAGCTTTAATTCAGCTGAAGTTAACATAGGAAACGAGGCTTCCAGTAACAAGCTGGTCATTAAAGAGGTTCCAGACCCAGGTCACATGCACTGACATCTGTGTCAGGAGAAGATGCCCAGGGGACTGAACAAAATTTGCTCTATCACAGATGAAATGTCCCTTCAGGCTCAACAGTCCTTCTTCCTGCATCGAGCTGATACCTATTATCACTGCTGCGTTATCAAGCCAGAAATGAGTCTTTGTAACAAGACTGGCAGAGAGGGAAAGCACCAGCATTTAAAGGAGCAGGGTGGGAGGGCTTTCCTGCAGCGAGCATATTATAGCCATCACAGTGTTACACATATTAGCTGCAGTACTTAAGCTGCTCAATGTAAATGGCAAGGGGTGACCTGGCAAAGGGCTTTCACTGGAGGGAAGGCTTTGCTCACTCGCCTTCAAAAGCCTAGTTCGGATGACTTTCAGAAGTCTTTGCAGGATCTTTTAGTCTGTAGCTGAGTCAGTACTGTGGAGAGCTGTTGACTTGCTTGAAGCATAGGAGGGAATAACCAGATAATTAGGATATTTTTTTTCTATATACAGTATGAAGGAATCAGCTGTTTTCAATGATGGCTCAGAACTTTCTCTGGAAGCATTCTTTAGGAATTCTGAAATTAACCAGTACCAAAATACATTTTATTTAGTCTATTTTTCTATGATGAACTATATTTGAAAAACCTATGGGAGATTTTCCAATGAAAAAAAAAAATTGCAAGAATTCTCCTTGCTATCATAATCAAGGCATTCTGATACTGACAGTAGCCATTTTCGGGACCCCCATATCCCAGAGTTATCAGTTAAGATGCAAATTCTCTGCACTTTGCCATATGTCAGGTATCAGAGTCCAGGCTGAAATGGACATATAAGGTCTTATTTTCATAATGCTGAAATCATGACAATAAATAACCTCAAGCAGAGAAAGAAACACTAAATAAAGGGTTTAAGAGATACACGAGTCATCCTCCATAAAAATTAATCTGGAGATAAAAACCTATGCTCTTTTTGACTCAGATAAGATGAGTGTGCATTTTTTTTCTGTGAACAGTGTATTCTACGCTCTGGTAGCTTGACACTGACACCCAAGAACAGTCCCCATTGCCTAATTAGCTTTAGACCATGGTTTGCAGCCCTCTGACAAAAGACCACATTTTGCTCTGAACAACTCTGCTGAAAGCTTCGATGTGCATTTTTCCCTGTCTTGGGATTGTTTTACTGTCTGGAGCCAGTCCATTTCCTCATCCATATAACAATGAGATTTTGCAGTACAGTCAGTTTCATGCATCACTTCACTGCTGTGACTAAAATGTAACTGAGCCTTGGTGTGATTGGTGTGAAATCCTGCTGCTTTACTTATCAAGGACTGAAACCACTGGAGTCCTTAATTTAAAACTAGAACTAAAAGTTTCTGTAGACTGGATGCAAATAACGTCAAAGTATTATTACAGGATGTCTGCATCAGAGATTCAATTTAAAGCCAAGGCAGATGTAAAAAGATGCACTGCTGCATTAAGCTGGGTACTTGGGGTACTGTGTTTCCCCTCTCCTTTCCCTTAAATTCTATGTTTAAATCCATCCTCATGTCACATAGAGCTATGGCATGTGCTTACCTTAAAATATTACCTTAACCAGAGGTAAGCACTGAGATCAGGGACTGCAGCTAATTTCATGTTTTATTCAGAAGGGACAGCCTTAAAGATTGATGAATTTTAGAAAGACAGGTGATCTGTTTGGCTTTTACTTTTAACACTTTTTCTGTTGCAGATTCATACATGGCCCTCACATTGTCATATCTGAACATTTTACGCTTTTTTTCACGCATCAGCCACAGATCAGAGCTGAGGTGTAAGATACTGTAGCCACCTTGCCATGGTATTCCTAGACCATGTCAAAAGCAGTTACAGGCAAGGCAAGAAGAACTCAGGCAGGTGCAGATCAATCAGCCTAAGCTCAGCCCATGGTAAAATTAAGGGGTATATCCTCCTGGAAACAACGTGCAGGCACATGAAAAGCAACAGGGTGTCTGGCAACAGCCAGAATAGATTTCCCAAGGGCAAACTGTGGTGGACCAACCTGAAAGTTTGCTATGATGAGACAACTGTCTTGCTGGATGAGGTGAGAGCAGTAGAGGCATCTGCTTATTTTGGCAGTTATTCATAGCATCCCTGCAGCCAAACTGCTGATTTATAATGGGACAGGTGGACTACAAATTTAGTAGATAACTGGAAGGTCCAAGAGACTTGAATAAAATGGTCAAGAATTCCAAGTACAACTTGTGGTTGGCTACTAGCAGTGTTCCCCAGAGGGTAGTGCTGGGGTCAATACTGCTCAAGATCCCTAAAGAACTGAAGAATGGAACAATGTGAACCCTCAGCAAGTTTGTCTGACATCACATTAGGAAAATTTGTTTATGTGCTATGAGGATGCCTTTCAGAAGGGCCTTAGCAGGTTGGAGAAATGTGCTGTCAAGAACCTTAGGAGGTTTGGTGATGACAAATGGAAATTCACTCACCCGACATGGAACAACCCATGCAACAGTCCAGACTGGGGACACACTGGCTAAGCACAAGCTTTGCAGAAAAAGCCTTAACATCCTGGTAGACAGCAAGTTGAACAAGACTCAGCTGTTTGCCTTGCAATGACAGAGGCTGCACACTGAGCTGCATTAGGAAGAATGTGGCAGCAGGAAGAGGGAGATGAATATTCCCCTTCATTAAGCTCTTGTGAATCTGTATCTGGAGTACTGTGTCCAGTCTGGAGCCCCAAAGGGGCAACCCAAAGTGAGGTTGGCATATTGTATGTCAAGTGGCTATTCAGAGCTCAGTTCTAGTTTGACACAT